CGGCGAGCCCCAAAGAGGGGGAGTGCCATATTGGTCTATTGAGAAGCCCGAGGCAGGCACGGCAAGCCCCCAAGAGGGGGAGTGCCATATTGCCCCAGAGGGGGCATGACGAGCCCCAGAAGAGGGCACTAGCGCAACCAGTGGATTGCGGGCGGGGAACAGACCCCGGGGTGTATGCGGGGTACATAGACCTGAGCCCCAGAGTGGGGCAGGACTGAGAAGTCCGCGGCGGGCGCAGCAAGCCCCAAAGAGGGGGAGTGCCATACTGGTCTATTGAGAAGCCCGAGGCGGGCACGGCAAGCCCCAAAGAGGGGGAGCGCCATTGTAGAGAGAGCCCGGGAAGAGGGCATGCAGACACACCAATGTCTATTACATCAGCGAGGCTTGGGGCGTGGTATTAGGGGCTGGTAGGAGCCACGCATAGCCCATAAGGCTAGGGTGCTTGGGGAGCACCCATCATACCGGGTGACCACAGGAGTCTGGGAGAACCGCGGGGACAGAGGTCCCGAGTAGCCATGCCCAGGGAGTCATAGGCAGCCTCCCAACTAATATATATATATATTATACACACTCCAACAAGACGTGGCGGGCGAGAATTAGAGGGTGCCTTGGGCCGGCCTGACACGGAGCGAGGGGCCTTAAGGAGCACACAGCCCTCCGCGAGGACCCTGCCATGACACTATGAATAAGGTATTTGGATGTAAGTCTGTTCTTGTAACTCAGCCTTTGAGTACTATTGAGTACTGGCTGGGTTGATCCCATGACATCTTTGCTTTCCCTCCAACCTTTTACCTTGTGTTTTCTGTTTAGAGTTTAAGCTTTTCAGGACTCTAAAAAAGTGTCTCTTACTATATGCATTATGGCATTGTGGATGCATCTACATGAGACGCTTTACTGTGAAGTAGTGTAGCTTACTGCACAGTAAGCATGTGCATCTACACATACACATGCTTACTGTACAGTAAACTTCACTAATCATGAGTAAATTTTCTACCTGCAAATACAAGTAGCAAATTTACTTATGGTTACTAACTGCACAATAGTGCTTGTGTA